TGAAACATTTATTTAGATTCTCTTCTTTTCTTCACTTTCTTTGCTTATTCTCTCTTCCTTTTTTTTGTACATTGTTCTTCTTTTTTCGTCTGGATTAAAGCATAAATTCTGCTCCAAGTCCCCAAAGGAAGCGCTTGCAATGCTGGAAACACATCGTTAAAAAGATAAATAATCGATATTTGTGGTTTAATGCTTCAAACTAGTTTCAGATTTTCTTATTTATATATCTAACCCATTTATTCCATTGTTTCCTGGGCCTTATCCTTGAAAAACGATACCTACGACAACAATATTTCATTTGTTCTATCTGTCGGTCAGTGTATTATTATATTGTATAAAGAAACAAGGAGACACAACACTTCCGTGTTCAAACAAAAAAATGTTGCATGACTAGCGGACGGCTACGACTAAATAAATGCATCAAAATGTTTGACATCAGCTGAGAGAAACGAACGATGTACCGAAGGACTAAGAAAAAGCATAAATGAACATTTTGGTTTCGTTTCTTTCGATTAACGACGAAAAACATGTGATCGTAAATGGTTCAGTCGGGGTGTGGTTTGATAGTGGTAAAAATTCAAGAATATAAAACACACCTCAAGCCAAAGAATTATGAATTGATTATGCATCACTCTAAATGGGAATTCCCCGCTCACTGAAAAAAGACCATTGGCCATGGTTGGTGACACGTCGATCCAACGAAGTAGAACCGAGTATTTTATTCAAAAAAATGTTCAATGGGGAGATAAAATGCATTACATAATAAACCGAAATAAACTTAGAGGCTGCGAATGCGGTTATTGTTTTTTTATGTTGGTGACGAAAATAATGTTATGATTCGATCAACCTTTGCCAAAAATAGCTCAATAAAATTTGAACCGTTGCACAAAAAGGGGATTGAAAATTGAGAAACAGCAATGCTTACACGCAAGTAAATAAAAACAAACATGTGACAGAGGTCGAAAATCGTCAATCGGTCGCTGCTACACGTTACACCCCGTCTGAAGCAGAGAAAACGAGACGAAATGAAACGAAATGCAAACCGCACACTGTCAATTCATTCAAATCTGTGTGATTGATGCGCGTGCAAGGATTACCCCCACTCCATTTGTTGATACACCGTGCACGTCACAGAGTCCATCATAAGTAGATCAACGGTTTCTGCGGTTTAACGAAACTTGCCACTCAACCAACCTATACACATATTGTCTAACGTTTCGGGCATTCTTTGTAGTGGTCCCGCCAGTGGCATATTCAATTCGCGTGAGAGTCAAACGAAAAACAAAAACAACAAAATGATAATCTCCCCAATTTGGATAAAAGAAGGAAATAAACGCACTTCATTTCATTCGATCGTATTCACACACACACTTTCTCTGCGCCACTTCAAAAAATCGTATCGGGCGTGTGTGTGGCTATTACAGGCGATTTACATAAATGAAACGAAAATAAAAAATTTGCAAGTAATGTTCACACAGTTTTGCAAAAATGATAAAAATGAATCTACGCATAAATCAAGTGGAATATATATAAAAAAAAATGTGAAGCATTAAAAAAGCGGTGAGAATAACGAGAGAAGAAACGAAAAAAAAAAATTATAAATCAACCTCGACTCAGAGACCACCTTGAATTTTTAATTTCAATATCACCTAATTTTTTTTTTTTTTTGAATTAATCAAAAGCATAAATCTTATTTTTCCTTTTTTTTGTAATCAATTCATGGAGGGAATTCACCGCGTACCGTATTAAATTCATACCTTTGCCGGCAAACTACGATACACTGAATGTGAATACAAGTGCGAGTGCGAGTGCGCGTTCACACATACAGACGCACGTACACTCATTCGCTCGATCGCTCGCAATACACACGTGAAGGGAAAAAAGAGTATTAAAATTACAATTCAAACTGTGATCATAAATCATTCGCATAATTCCTTCTCTTCGTTGCAGATGACTGTCGATGTGATAGGCCCAATATTCAGATCAGGAAAGAGTGAATAAAAAGGCAAAACACAATTTACACACATTCAGTCGGACGTTTACAATTCGAATTAAACTTGAAGTTTTTGCGTATATGTAGTAAGTACTGACACACGACGTGGTAACCGAAAACAGAAGAAAAAAAAAACAAAAATCGGCGCGCAAGTTTTATTTTGCCTCTGTTGCTAACACTGGACACCAAACGCGCCCCATCCAAATTCTACTCGTTTCTTCTTTACGATCGTGAAACACGCGAACACACACACACACACTCCCAATGACATCTCAATTCGGGCAGCGTGCTGTTCAAAACAACTTGTTCTCTTCTTTCTTCTTCCACTGTCTCCCAAAACTGAATTCTAAAACGATGAAAAATGACGAAAATTTTGCAGTTTGATCCGTTAGTTGTATTTTACAGGTGGCCTAAATTCCGAAATCATTTCTTTTATTTTGAATTGAATATGACGAGAGAGAAAAAAAACATGTGTATAGATTCTTTTGTTCGTACATAAAATCGACAAATGTGCAATCCTAATCAAACAGTTTGCGGTCACTTCGCATATTTTGTTCGGCCACTTTTTGTCGTGTTGTGAGAGAAATTCGATACGGCATTTTATGACATATTTCCAATGCACACACAATGAACTATATCGTCTTTTACTGATTGAGACCAATTTTTCAAATGGAGTTTTTTTTTTGTTTTTTTTTTTACTTTCTGCATGTGTGTATAACAATAGAATACATAAATTGCAAATTTCATGAATAGAAAAAAAAATATTTAGAAGTCTCAACATGACCAAAAAAGAAGACCATCATGTTAACATTGATAAAAACGGGGGAATGCTCAAAAGTAAAAAAAAGGAGAAATGAAAAGTGCAAACCAATGAAATTCGTTCACACTTTTTCGCAGATCAATTCAAGCATTGAGCGACAAAAAGGTAACATTTATTAATGCATTGCAGTTTTTTTTTTGAAGAAAAATGAAGGTAAAATCAAAGAAAAGTCTTCTTGATCGATAAAAATAAGAATATGTGATTTTGCAAATCGAAATCCGGAATCCTTTCTGGCAATGATTCGGTTCTCTAGTAAATTTTCAACATAGCCGCTACACGAAGTTTCTCGAAACAGAAGACTTAACTGAGGCGACAAGCCTTTGAAGGGGTTGTTGAACGGTAAACATCAAATCAGGAAAAAGAAATAAAAACACGCCAGTGTTCATGCGCCAAAATGAACCACCTACTTTCATATGAAAATCGTGCGGCGACGAAACGACATGCAGCTACAAAAAAGTATGTAAAGTGGCAATTCTTTAAATTTTTGTTATCACTAAAAGTGAAGGAAATAAAAAAAAATTCGCTGCAGTACGCGCGCGTCAAGTCACGTTGTATCAAACGAGCGTTCGAAACGAAAGCCATTCGAAGAAAGAAAGAGAGAAAAAAACTGCCAAGCTTTCCATTTAGAGTTGATTGAACAATTTTTCATATGTTGTAACATTATATATGGAGATGTAATTAAATAATTGTTAATGAAACTATATAATAATGAGAGCCGCCGCGAATGCTGAAGTGGCACGTGTTGCGTACGATATTTTATTACGGGATAATTCATCCAATTATTACTCGGTTGTTGTTGTTGTTTGTTTTTTTTCTATGTGCGTATTATTAGCGTTGGCAGGCACCCACTAGCATATGCAGTATTTAAACGACGAGCGAAATACGAAAAAAAAATTGTAATTTAAAATGGCAGTTTTTCCTATCGATACGGCACTTGCAGTTGCCATCGAACGAAACGAGTGCATTGCTGTTGTTTTTTCTTCAATGAAATGACAACAATACGCACGAGAATTAGTAAAATTCTTTAGCATGAACGAAGTGATTGACAATTGGGCATGCAAAGTTCATTCCTTCGTCGCATTCGCACACATACGGCTGTTTTTTTTTTGTCCCTTCTCTTCCAATGCTCACGTGCATATTCATACAGTTCGAATGCGACATTTGCAAAATGCGGATTGCATCAGGCGTTTCGATGTTCTGTCTAATTTTAGACGATGAATATCATTGGATCGTTTTTTATGTTCAAATCAAACGCATCGACGCAACGTAAAACATGTATATGTTCTAATTTGATCATGCACACCGTACGATTTGAATCGTGTTAGATTGATTTGTGATTGGGCTGCGAAAGTAAATTCTTCCTTTTCATCGAAACATTCTCATTTCTTTGCCGTGCTTTCGTTTATTCTCTCTTTTTCTCCTGATTCAGGTGGAGAGGGGAGACATATATGTATACATGAATCTGATGCTCTCTTTTTTTCCTTTCTTCTTCTTTTGATCGCTTGTGATTGGTTTGCCACTAACATTTCCCCGTATATATCACAAGCTTATAGCTACCGTTGTAGCAGCTGAAGGGGAAAGACGTGGAGAACCACATTCTTATGACTGTTTCTCTTTTTTTTTGTGTTTCATTAACGTATTTTTGCTAAATTTCTGGGAATGGAGTCATTTCATTCGTTTCAACATGACTAAATACCAAAAATCCAGATAATAACATACGTAACATGATTAACGTAAAACTCAGTTTAATCATCAAAAATACAATGAAATGACACACAATTTATTGTTGCGGTATGAATCGTGTGTATGCAACTAATTTCCACTTTCGTGCGTGAAAATGATAAACGCTTGGTATTCGGCGATCTCCAAGATCCAATTCACGTAAAATTGAATAAAATTATGAACGAAAACGTGGAGTACTTGCATGACAAATGCATTCCAAAACAAACAAAAAACTGACAAGCACACAAAAAATATACTGAACGAACAAAAAGTCACAGCTGTGTGTGTGTGTGTGTCTTGAAGCATATTTGCATTCAGTGCAATTGATTTTAAACTGCACTCCTTTTGAATGTGTATGGAATGAAGAGCTTTTTTTTTCGTCTTCGGTTGCACTTCGTTTGCTTTCTCATTCGTGTACATTCGAGTCGACTTCACTATAGACGCTAATATGCATTGGCTCATTTTGATTTTGGTCGCGATCGATGTTTGTTTGCGGATCGAAACCTCCGCAATTCAACAGAAATAAAATAAATTGAAAAATTTCATATTTGCATAGTTGGCGCCAAATATAAGAAAAGAAAGTCTAGAAATATTTCACAATTTTTTTTTTAATGAAACGAAATCACAAGAATACCGTGAATTGTAGTGTTCCGTTGATGCGATATTGTGTGAGCAAAAAAAAGAGTGTGGATCATAGCAATCGATAAAAAAAATCCGTTCAATTTTTAAAACTCGTTAGATTTTTTTTTGGTTTTTCGTTGTTGGTGCGGATCCTTTGCAAAATTAAGCGCATCTTTTTCTCTCCGAACATATATCGAATGTAAAACGAAAACGGATTTGAGCACGGCCGCGAGCGCATCGGTTTGGTACGAAAATTTTTCATCAAATGGAAAAGCGCAGCTATTCACTTGTTTGGTATGAGGAACAGTACAGTACGGTTGTTTTGAGGAGAGAAATTTAACACACAACCAAAGAAACGAGCGGGCGAGCGAACGAGCGAGCACGCACACGTACATTGAAGGCAACAGCACCCGCAATGTAATTGAAGTGTTAGCAGTCGGCGACGGCGGCGCGTGTTTTTGTATACGTGTTACTTCTCCAAACGACGAAATATAGAGAGAAAAAAAGCATATAAAAGAAAAGACATTGATACTGAAAGAGAAGAGCATTTGACACAGCTTTGAAAAATCACTGAGAATGACAGTGCCTTCCTCATATCTCGACGAGTAAATTTACACACATATCTTTTTGATATACACCTTCTTTGGCCAGCCAGCCAACCAGCCAGATACACACACACACAGAGAGAGAGAGAGTGAGTGAATGAACGAGCGAGAGATAGAGTGAGAGACAGAGACTACAATTCCATCGGATACAGCGATACACAACCATACAATACACTCTTACACTATATTACTCCGAATGCTCTCCTCACATATGTGAACGCCAGAGAGAGTGAGAGAGAGAGAGAGAGAGAGAGAGAGAGAGAGAGAGATTTCATACACGGTGTGTTTTTATTTTTCTCCTGCTTTTCATCATCGTTTCATCGTTTTCTTCACGAATGCTACCATCGCATGAAATTGAAATAACAATAATTATTATAATCATAACAATAATAATATAAAAAAAGAAGAAAAAAAGCATAAAGTATATGAACTGAACTGAGCATACTCAAATATATGTATATACATATGAAAAAGAACTGTTTAAGTGGCAATCTCCGAACTGGTCTCTCGACACATATATAAACGAACGTTGTCGACCAAAACCATTCAGTTTACATTTTTGGTACCTGATGATCGTAGTGGACACAAGAGACAAAAATATCGAATGAAAACATTTCGAAAAGAACGATACTCAGGCACACACACACACACACACACACACACACAAACAAACAAACACCCACGCAGAATTCAATGAGCGGATTTTCACGACACACCACGAAAATTACACCGATTTATATTTATTTTTTTCTGCAAATTCAGGTGTTCCGCTGCACGTTTTCAATTAAATGTTGCCTCTGAATTTAACCGAAAAATAAATAACAATAAAATGATTTTAAAAAAATGTGTTAGTCGACAAAAAAAAAACTAAACGGTTAATTTTTTTTTCAGTGAATAAATTGCATTGAAATTAATGAAAAAAAACATTTTTTTCCTGTTCAGTTTTAAATTGTACATTGTTGCAATCGCCTAATTTGAGTGACAGATCTGTTGAAAAAACACAAACTTTAAAGTGGACAATTTGTTTCCCTTTTTTGCTGACAAAACCAAGAATCCAATTGAAAATAATACATTAGAGAAAAGAAAATCAGACCAATAACCGTAAAAAAAATGACTCTGTTAACACTAATTTTAATGATCAGTGCCATTGCATTGTCATCATACAATTACTTGAAAGTTTTGTACGAAGCCAAACGAAAAATCAAAATTGTAACGGTTGAAACGGTAAAGGCGGCCAACGGGGAAAAATCACTTCAAAATACCGTTAATGAGTATGCGCAGGCGCCTGGTCCACGCTACATTTTACCCATCCTTGGGAATTTGGCTGAGATGGGAAAACATGAGGCGCCAGCGGTTGCATTCACCGAATTGGCCAAAAAGTATGGTGACATCTATTCAATGACGCTCGGCACAACACGATGCCTCGTTGTGAACAACCTAGATCTGATTCGCGAAGTTCTTAACTTGAACGGAAAATATTTCGGCGCTCGACCCGACTTCATTCGATTCCATGCGCTATTTGGCGGTGATCGTGGAAATTGTAAGTGATTTTCTTCATTCAAATTAAATTCTTCTATATTCATTGAGTAAAAATAGAATTCTTAAAAATGATCTCAGTCGACAATTGTATTGGGATTGTTCAGTTTTTGACGTGAAAAATTATGCAATCATTTGATCAAAAGAGAGAGAGAGAAAAAAAAGAAAAAGCAGAGTGTACGGAGAGAGATACAATATTTGTTTTATCTATTATGCACTTGTGTTGTTTTGTATGAAACCAAAAAGAACCTCAGACATCTCTGATTACGTACGAGATTGATTTTTTTTGTACAACGAAAAAATTATTATTAAAAAAAAACAACAACAAAAATAGCATGTTTTTTTTTCTTTCTTCGATTCCACATCCAATCGGAATACAAGTGCGTTCGCGTATTACATATGAACAGATTTTATTTTTGTGGCAAAAATTTATTATTTATATCGTATTTTTTTTTTGTATTCACTCCGCTTGATTCCACTGACCGTGAAAATCGCGCCACCAATTCAATGCTTAAAATGGTATATCTCGCTCTCTGTGTGGTGTGTGTTTTTTTTGTTTTTGTTTTGTTCATCCATTCATTCATTATAGTACGTACGTTCGTAATAAATAAACAAATCGAAATACTTTTCTAATTATTTATTGTATCGGATCGAAGAATTGTGCAAAATAGTAAGTGTGTGCGCGTAGTAGTTGACTTGATGAGATGCGAGGGGCTCGCACACTGGCCATTGTCTGCCTCACAAACATCATAATCAATGTGTAGCACAGTTCGTGCAAGAGAACCAAAACACCATGCACAATATTGCACAAAACTTGTATGCATACATAATTCATGCAGCTCAAATTCATACACCGAAAATGATGCGATAGACCGAATGCCGAGCCAGGCCTCATTTATTTCGCGCATCGTAGTTGCGATGTTATTTCATATGATTGATTGCAATAACAACAACAACAACAACAGCGAAATCAATTCTTGTCACCTATCGGTCTGGTAGCGATCATAGTAATAATGAACAAACACAGACGCTTTATCACACGCAGAAGTAATTTAAATTATGGAGAGAAAAAAAAGGTTTTCGAACGGAATAAAATGTCAAAATGTATGCAAAATTAACACCGAATCGTTCAATGCTATTTGAGAAGCACGTGCCAACGACACAATGTCGTCCAACGAACGGACTCAACATGAGCAATTATTTCACGTACAGTTTCGATCGTTTATTAGCTTTGACTGCAATTAGCCATAGAATTGAACCCCATCAACAATTTCGCATCGCATTCAACTCAATATGTATATCACGAGGAAATTTCATTCCGATTGCCGATCAGTTGACCTGTTGAAGCAATCCGCATTTGATGGAACTTAATTTCGGTTGGTAGAACAGACAGATTTCGTTTATCCGAATCAACGGCACTGAATCAATATACGAACAAACGAACAATATGCAGTGATTTATGCTTATGTGCTTCACATGAGCCGGAGTTAAGCTTCTAACGACTTTTTCCATCTCTCTCTCTCTCTCTCTCTCGCTGGCACACTAAACACTGCTCATTATTCTCTGTCTCCATTTTGGAGCGCATAAACTCAAGGCAAAAAAGCAGAAACAAATAAACAAACCTATCTGATCAGCACAGAACATGCCAACTCATTTCATGCCGTCTCAGCAAAATGGGCACGCAAACGGACATATTTCAATCGAAATAAAAAGTAGCAGCAACTTATGTATTGGCCAATTGAATTTGATTAGATAGAGTTAGTTTCCAGATGGTTTGAAATGAGTTGTGGCAACGAGGAACGAGAAACAATGCCGAAGAAAAAGAGAAAAACAGAAAGAAAATAAATCAATAATGCATGCGAAAGAAAACTAAATGCGGAAGAAATCTAGAACTAATATACAATTAATTAGCCGCACCATGTGTATCGACTCGATCGCAATTAAATCAAACCGATTGATAAGCTCTGCTCAAAACGAAATGCGATGCACATGATTACGTAATCAGAACATTTGATCGATTTTCCATTTTATTGATGTGTGTACCTGTGCGTGTATGTGTTTTATTTGTTGATTGCCCTTTCACTCAGCACGCATCCAATTGAATGAATGAGCTGCACTCACAGTCTAGCAATCACATACACACATTTATGCGTGGCGACACGAAAAAAGACGGCATTTTCGATTCTAGCAAACCATTTATTTGCTTGAGCACAATCGAAATTTTATTGAGACCAAACCAAATATGTGACATTTCAAACATATGGTTTGTCCAAATCCAAATCCAAATATAGAGTATCATTCAACCGGGGCACTTTATCGTCAAATCCATGATTAGATCTCTCAAATCAATCTCAATCCACCCCAAAACCGTTCATAAAAAGAAAAAAATCCTTTCGTCGTTTATATTTTAGTTTTTTTTTTCTCTCTTCAAATAAATCATTATCAGCGCATTGCAACATAAATACCATATTTGATCAATGATCATTAAGTAAATATACTGACGAAATTCTGAGCGCTTGCATTTGTGCATCGATATGATAGCACATCGGCTACTGTGTGTATGTGTTTGTGTGCCGCGGTATGTCGACAATTCAGTCTGTTGGTGCGAGAAGCAATAGCAACAGCAACAACAACACCGCATCCACACATCATAAAACAATTACAGTAACAATAATACTAATTGAAAATGGCCACATGCTCTTGGCTCTCTGTTTCATTGAGCGAGAAGCGTGGATAGACCAGATTCGACGCACCCATTCAAAGACAATTTAAGAACAGAATACTGTCTATTTCTTTATAAAATATAATAACAAAATGAAACACAAATAATGAGGAAAAAAATCGAATAAAGTTTCAAGAAAGAAGAGGAAAAAACCCCACACCACAAATACGTATATGTGTCTGAGAGATAGAGAAGAGAAGAAGAAAAGGAAAAAAACGCTAGTCGCAAAAGTTTCATTCACAAAAGGAAAAAACTGATCTTAGCTAACATAATACGCTGTTTTACATTCAACAACGTACAGTATGGGTATCTCATATTCTTGATGTGAATGAGTGTCTGTGTATGTGAGTGCTTTCCATATATTGTCTATGGATTGAGAAGAGACAGCCGAAAGATTCCACGTTGGTTTTAATTTTATTTTATTTCACGTTATTTTGTTGTACGCTCTTTTATTTCATTTCATTTCATTTTTTTTCGTTATTGTTCGAATGCGGTTGAGTCTGAGCCCAGAGTGGAGTTTATGCAATGGTCTTTGTGTGCTGTTTTTTTTTCTCTCTTTTACTCCATATTTAGACCATTTTTATTTTATTTTTGCCTTTTTATTTATTCATTTTTATTTGTACAATCGACGATCAGCAGGAATTCACACCGGTAAAATATAATCAAATAATATGTTTTAGCCGATGTGCCTTATCAAATCGTTGATTGTTTGTATCTCTGCGTTTTTTTTCTTCTATTTTTGTATCGTTGGTGGGTGCTTCTGCTGTTACAGTTGCTGTTGCCTATACTGTTGTTTACTTTTCTCTATACAACACATATACGACAAACTGATCCATTCGATTTGTGCATCTATAGAGTAGAACAGCGGTATTATTTTTTGTGTCACTGTGAACAATTCCATCTTGGTCCTCGTCGATCATGAGGAAAACGAAAAAGAGGAAAGTTTACAATAAAAAAAAATGTGCATAAACAGAGGCATACAGAAGCCAATGCGACATAATAAAACATATGGTTGCATTTGTCTAGTGCGATCCTAGTGTTTACTTTCCATACACACCAAATGCATTGCAACAATTGGATTCGTCACATATAGAAATGTGAATGAGTTCTTTTACAACTCAAATATGGCTCAACAGCAGCAGCAGCAGTAACAGCGGTTCAAATATTGTGCAGAAATCCAATTTCATTGATAAATTTTGAAAACTCCGTTTCTTCTGTCATTTAGAATGTATTCTTGTTCTTGTTCTCAACCTGACTTATATGTCATTTGCGTTCGTCATTAAATATGCACGAATGTATCGAACAATATTCCATTTTAGATTACGCACAATTAGTTACGATTTTTCAAAATGTATTAATTCATTTCCTTTTTTCTCTCTCTCTCTCTTTCTTTCATCTCTTAAAATAGCGTTGGCATTGTGCGACTGGTCACCATTACAGCAAAAACGCCGAAATCTTGCACGTAAACACTGTTCGCCACGTGACACATCATCGTATTATGCAAAAATGAGTGATGTTGGCTGCAACGAGATGAACTTCTTCATGAATAAAATTGGCGATTGCGTTAAACCCGGCCAGGATTTCCATTTGAAATCGATCATAAATCAGACGTGTTTCAATATGTTCAGTCAATACATGTGTACGACACGTTTTGATTACGATGACACCGCATTCCAAGGGATTGTACGACATTTTGATGAGATTTTCTGGGAAATAAACCAAGGTTATGCGGTCGATTTTCTGCCATGGCTTGCACCATTCTACAAAGGACACCTGAATCGATTGGCATCATGGTCAACAAATATCCGAAGTTTCATTCTCAGTCACATCATTGAGCAACGTGAACGTAGTTTAAATTTGGAAGAACCGGAACGCGATTTTACCGATGCATTGCTAAAAAGTTTGGCACGGGATCCGGAAGTGGATCGCAACACAATCATTTTCATGTTGGAAGATTTTCTTGGCGGTCATTCGGCTATTGGTAATTTGGTTATGCTCATTTTGGGCCATATCGTTTTGTATCCGGAAATTGGTGAACGCGTTCAAAAGGAAGTCGACAGCATTACGGAGAATGGTTCGCGCACAGTTACACTGTTCGATATTGACAATATGCCGTACACGGTGTCAACCATTTACGAAGTTCTTCGTTATTCATCATCACCCATCGTTCCACATGTGGCCACCGATGATGTTGCCATTGCTGGATATGGCATTTCGAAAGGAACAATTGTCTTTGTTAACAACTATGAATTGAATACTAGCCCACGATACTGGACACAGCCCGAACAATTTAAACCAGAACGTTTCCTTGAATGTGTTCCCATTCAAAAGACAAGTACAACAGCCGCTCCGGTTGAACCGGTTGTCACATTCATGCGCTCAAACTTCGAATCGGATTCTGCCTCCGATTCAGGCGTTGAATGCGACGAAACCGACGTCACTAAACCAACCAGCAAAGCCAACAGCACAGATCATATCAAAGTGCACAACAACAAAACCAGCAATCGAAACACCAGCAGCGCATTGCCAGGAGAGCACAAAGACAATTTCAAATTGCGTATTCGCAAGAATATTCCGCATTTTTTGCCGTTCAGCATAGGCAAGCGTACTTGCATCGGCCAGAATTTAGTGCGAGGTTTTAGTTTCATTATGGTAGCAAATATTCTGCAAAAATACAATGTAAGCATTAGTGATAAGAGCCTGATCAAAATGTATACAGGATGTGTGGCCGTACCGACCGAAACTTATCCGCTTGCATTGACACCGCGCACACATTCCATTTGATTTTTTTAGAACGAAAACTAATTTTCAAAACACAATATGCACAATTTGTTTCAAACATTTTTGCAAAGAAAAGTGAATGAGCTTGTACACTAGTATTCCTAACATATTGACGAGAGAAAAAATAATAGCAGAAAGTAATTTAACACGCACATTTTCATGTTCTTATTTATATGCAATTTAATTTGAAAATGACTAATGAACTTTGTGATTTCGATTTAAAACATATTTATAAAATTCATTTCATATGTATGTGAAACAAAAGAAACTGGCTAGTATTAGAGAGTGAAAGAATGAAATAAAGAAAATCCGAACGAAAAGTAATGGCAAAAACAGAATTTTTTTCCAGTTCGGACTCATACAGGCAATATCAAATAGACTGTCGATTTTCTTCATAACATTTCACTATAAAGAAGTATTTTTTTTTATCGATTAATTTGTAAATAAATAATAGTGTTAAGTATCACATATGAAAATCCATTTACATTAGGGCACTGCATCAATTGCAAACATATAGGGCACTAGACATAAATCATTGGAACTCATCAAAATGAATTCTTTCAAGAAAGTCTTTTATTTTTGGCCAATTCAATGTTCCAAATTTATTCATATCGCCAATACCACCACGATCGAAACAATGTCAGCCCATCTTTCCTAATCCCATGCATAGCATTTGTAATAATTTATTATTTTAATCAAATTGATTATATAGACACCGTTAGAACTATTTATAGACAAACATAACAACAACAATAAAATCTGTCAAATAGGAATAATAACAAATCATGAAACAAGAAGTTTTCGCTTCGAAATATGTTTAACATCTACCTTTGTGTTGGGCAACAAATCAAAACAAATCATATGTCAATTATCAAATAAAACGAAAACTGATTTTCATACAGACTCGACACATACACAACGATTGTATACAAAAAACAAAACAAAAGCAATGATTTTATCGATGAATAAGACTGAATTTCTATATAAAATTAACAAGTAACAAATACTTTGACAGATGAATTTATATTTTACGTTTAGTTGCTTGCATTAAAAAGAATTTAATTTAAAAGAGAAAGAAAAAAAAAACCAACCAAGTCTTTTATTTTATTTTTCAGTTTTGAATGCATCGTTAAGTGAATGACCATAACCGTCTCATTCAAAATTTTGAACCATTTAAATGGAAAGGTTTTTGTTCAGTAACTGAACTTCGGTTATAAGGTTTTCACTTTTTCTCAACTGTCATTGATCTATTGAAACTATTTCATTTCGTAGTTGAATCAAAATATCGGAGACTAACAGAAGAATTGTTGAAATATAGATAGGATGCAATACACCGCATTTTGGACATATTTTTAAATCGTACTTATATCGAATTGTAATCCGAGCAAAATTTTATGAACGGTTTGAGCAACGAGTTTTGTTTTGTTTGCAATTCAGTTTTTAATCATGTAACATACATTGACTATTTATATTTTTTAGTGACTCATTAGTTTAGTGAAACAAACCCATATATAATCATCATTTCGGGCCATCATACGCTAAATTCTGATTGTAAAAATAATAACAGCAACAATGAGGTAGAAAATTTCCATAACGGTTTGTTTCAAATTGTAACTTGATACTAATATAAAATCTAAATAACACATAAATAGAACACGCGGGGTTTGAAAAAAATATATAATAAGATCTTTATGAAAAAAATGGAAAGAAAGAAATAAAAATTTTAAATTCTACTTTCTTTAAATACTTTGTTTGGAAGGTTTTTAAAAAACCACAATTGAAAGGTTTCTAAATTACAACAACTATGCTTGAGCATTGAAACGTAGAAATATTCAACTGCAAAATGGACAAACGGTGATTTGTATGAAAAAATTACGAATTTGCAGATTGCTCAGCCAATTCGCTACTTGAACAGCCGATTTGCTTCTTCCCAGAATCAGGTTGTATGATTTAATCAAATTAAAATCCACTGAAAGGTGCAATTGATTTTTGAAGAGAAAAACAACTAAACTGATTTCAATTTATTTGTATTAGCATTTATCAAATTTTCGCATGTGATTTAAATAAATCCAATTGTTTTATGCACTCAATGAAGCAGCGGACTTGTCGGCACACTCGTGGATTTAGCATTTCACTTGCTTTGGCGATTCGTGAGTTGCCGAAGCATCATATATGCAGTGCACTCGATATTTAACGTGAAAACCTATAT